AATGGGAAAGGAAATGATTCTGATTTCAACTGTTGCGTATATTAGCTGCGACATATGAATTGAGATGCTGTAACCGAAAAATTTTGATTGACCGATGACTGTTGATATATGATTGGCCGAATTTAGGTGTTCAGGCTGACGTATAACTAACTGGCCTGAATAAGATAACGAAAAAAACCAACATAGATTTTAAGACATTATATTTTTAACTTTTTGGACAATATCGTCTGATAAAGACTACATTTATATACATGTTTAAGCCAGAATGATTTGACATGTAAATATGACTTCCCTACGACTTTATAAACAGAAACTATGATTTTTCAAATTTCTTTGTAGAAATTAGACGTCTAGAGGTTGTCAGAGCATCCTGAACGCTTCCTTTCTTTATTTTCCATCAGCTGGAAGCAGCTCTGGTGTCTCTGACGGTCTGCTGACGTCTAGCAGTCGCTGCGGAGCGTTCACCAAACAAACCGCAACGTCAGAACAAACACAGTGGGGCTCATCCTCAGCGTGTGAGCGTGAGGAGGAGGACGGAGACGGGGAGTCCTTCGTCTCTCTGCTGACCTCCCTGTTTGTGACGTCTGTGGCAGAAGTGGGATTAGGTCCCGGTTCCACTTCCCACTGGGTTCTAAACCTCTGACCCCGCAGCTGGGACCGACAGACACCCAGAAACAAGAAATAGACCTTTTCTCTGTTTCAGGATGAACCAGTTTTTCTGCTGGGATTTTATTCTATGATGTCTGGGAGGTTTGGATCCATTCTGATGGTACCGTCTTAAAACACAGAAAACGGGTGATGGATTCTGGGCGACCGGAATCACAGGGTATCATTAAAACCTATTAAGTCATCAGGTCCTGTTGCCTCAAACCGAGTCACTCTAAAAGCTCTTAAAGTCGTAGGGAAGTCTTATTTAAATGTCAAATCATTATGGCTTAAACATGTATATTAATGTACCGTAAATCCTCTAATATTGGCCTGTATTCCATTAGCAGTCGGGTCTCTAACACTTCCCGGTCTTGCTGTCGGCAGAGGTAAATGATGGTCGGACTCGTATATAGGCTGGGGCCATAATTAGAACCAACGATGTTCCTGGACAGTCCTCAACAACTTGTGATAGTAACATACAAGTACCACATGGGGGCGATGTTTGCGAACGAATCCGAGCCACTAGCATGGGAAGTCCCATCCTTACACAGAGATCGTAGTGGCCTTACACAATCTTTCAGATCTGAAAGACAAATGTGATTACCGGTAGGTCTGGTGGTAACCAGCCAGCGTTAAAATGACAGAATTTTGTTCGCCGTCGTTGTTCTGAATTTCCCTTTAAATACATGATACTGGTAGCCTACTTCCACTTAGGCTGCCTCAAATAAAATTTCACTGTGATGGCAGAACAGTTACCATAATTTTTTTTTGTAAACTTGTTTGGCCAAGATTCCATTCTGTTTTTTGTTTTGTTTTTTTCGTATTACCGTGCAGAAAAATTACAGCTGCTGGTATATTTCTGAATAATGTTCTGTATACCGTTATGGTAACTGTACTTTTTCTATAAATTAACCTAGTATTTTATAGGACACAAAATCTCGTTTTTATTCATTCCACTGGTAGTCTGTTCTGATCAAATAGAAATAGAGGCCTGCCTCTAATTCTGGCCTCCTTCCAATAATGGCCCGGACCAAGATGTACCCAAGTGAAATATGTTGATTGTAGATGTGTCTAGTAGTTCCCATTGATTTTGCTTGTAAAGCGGGGAGAATGGCGCTAGGCTTACCGCACCGTGATGTCACTGCTGGAAGATGGCAGGAGGGAGGGGTTACTATATTTGGGCAAAAATGGCCGCTCCCAGAATTATTATTTTAATTTTTTTACTG